ATGCAGCTGTCTGGGTCCGGAAGATAGATGGAGATAGTACCTGCCAATCGAAAGGCCGGCCTGGGCAAGCGCATCAACATGATCATGCAAACCGTCTTCTTCAAGCTGAGCGGCCGCCTTAGATACATGCGACATGTGGAATGGTGTGGAGGTCTGCATCTTGCAGCCCAGTCGCATGAAGGTGCCGTCATGCCGTACGAAGAGGCCGTGGAGATGCTGAAGAAGAGCATCAAGAAGATGTATGGCAAGAAGGCGCCGTCGTGAGAATGGGGATGCGATGTTCTGGCATGTCCAAACCGGCAGGGCGACAAAGTGGTGAAGATGAACATCGATGGGGTCGATGCTTCCATCGAGGGCATCGTGGAATGCGAAGTTCCAGCTGCTTGGGCATCCCTGGCAGTCGACTCGGAGGCTCGTGCATGTCTTCTACGGATTGCAGATGGTGACGGTTTCCAAGGGAGTGTCGATTGCGCAACAAAGTCATCACAGATGGGCTAGAAGAACCCTAGAAGTGAATGTCTTGACAGGCTTCCGACGCCAAGAGCAGCATTGTGGCTTATGCCAAGGGGCCCCGCATGTTTCCGGAAGTGCAGAATGCCTCGCAGTTTGCCACGCAAGTGCAGAAACCTTGCAACAATCTGGATGGCAACTCTCTTCCGGTGAGTGCCTTTGTGCCCGGTGGCCGCGTGCCATGTGGTACCAGTCAGTACGAGAAGCGTGGCATTGCCATCCAGGTGCCTACGGTAGACATGGACAAGTGCACGCAGTGCAACAAGTGCAGTCTGATCTGCCCCCATGCAGCGGTGAGACCATTCCTGATGACCTCTCAAGAGCTTGGGAAAGCACCGGCATCGTTCAAGGAAGGCAGTCGTTCTGCCATCGGAGGAGGTGTTTTGGATAACTACCAATACCGCATTCAGGTGTCGCCTTGGGACTGCACTGGCTGCGAGCTTTGCGTGCGCATTTGCCCCGCGGATGCACTTACCTTGGGTCCGGCCGAGAAGGTCATTCAGGAAGAGGAGGCCAACTGGAACTTCGCCGTGGCGCTGCCAGACCGCGGCGACGAAATTGACAAGACGACGGTCAAGGGCTCCCAGTTTCAGAAACCATACCTTGAGTTCTCAGGGGCGTGCGAGGGCTGTGGCGAGACGCCGCACGTGAAGCTGATGACGCAGCTCTTCGGCGATCGACTTGTTATTGCCAATGCCACAGGCCAGAATCACAAGCAGTCGGACTTAAAACAAGTGTCATGTTGTCAGTCTCTTGTGTTAATTCCGAAAAGTGTACGGTTGTCAGTCTCTTGTGTTACTCGTCGACTCGTCGTACTACATTGGCAGGCTGCTCCTCGATCTGGGGTGGCTCCAACCCATCCTTCCCGTACACCACGAACAACAAGGGAGAGGGTCCTGCATGGGCCAACTCCTTGTTCGAAGACAACGCTGAGTTCGGCTTCGGCATGCGCAAGGCTCGCCCGCGGCAAGACGGCGCCACGTGCTGACACAGGCAACGTGAATCTGTTGAATGTGTTCAGCGAGGCCTTCAAGCAGCGCCGCGACTACCTCGCAATGCAAGTGGAGGTCTGCACTCCGTTTGAGCTGAGAGCCCGGTCGGGTGTTTCCGGTCGCAGGCGGCTTCGTGCTGTGTTGACCTGCAGGACACCTTGGCGGATAAGTCCGTGACGATGTCCGACGAACTTCGTCAGGCACTGCAGCAGTTCCTGGTGATGCGCAAGGACGCACATCCCCTGACCGTGTTGTCAAGCTCGACCGCCACAAGTGTTCTCGTATCGGGTATGGAAACCATCATTTTTTGTCGTCATCGCCAGGAGCAGATGCACGACCTGTTGCTGCCGAAGGGCCGCAGTGCCTCGTCTGTCCTTCTGGAACAGAATGGCTTTGCTCTGGCGGCGTGCATAGTGCCACGTCGCTCGTCGCCGAGGCATCTACCATCAGATCATGGAGAAGCTCGTGCCACTTTTGGAGAAGGACCTTCTCGTTTTGTGCGCATGATCACTGGGCTGGTAAGAAAGCTGGCGTTTTCAGGAAAAGGGCATGCATCCAAAGATCCACAACCTCTACGACTTGCCACTCGGCGAGCCATGCAGTCACCATCGGAACTGCCGACGTCTTCGGTTCAATCTGTACCATGCATCGTTGATGCAGTAGTTGCTGCAGCCAAGGGAAGACATGTTCGGCCGCAGCAGCTTCTGGATTGTTGGTGGAGACGGCTGGGCCTACGACATTGGGTACGGTGGCCTGGACCACGTGATTGCCAGCGAGGAGCACGTGAACATCCTCGTCCTTGACACGGAGATGTACAGCAACACGGGCGGTCAGGCATCCAAGGCAACACCCAAGGGAGCTATGGCCAAGTTTGCCGAGGGTGGCAAACTCACACAAAAGAAGGACCTGGGCCAGATGGCCATGACATACAAGAACGTTTACGTCGCGAGCATCTGCGTGCATGTGAACCCTCAGCAAGCTGTGCGAGCTCTGATCGAGGCGGATGCCTATCCAGGCCCTAGCCTGATTCTGTCCTACACCCCATGCATTAGTCAAGGCTTCCCGATGGCGGAGTCAATCCAGCATTGCCAGATGGCCGTTGACAGCGGCTACTGGCCCCTCTACCGCTACAATCCTGAGGCTGCGGCGCAGGGCAACAATCCCTTCCAGCTCGACAGCCGAAAGATCAAGGGCGACCTGTTCAAGCTCCTGGCAAAGGACGGGGGAGAGGGGCAGGCAATGCAAAGCCAGCACAGTGATTCAGATGCCATGCCCCGCCAAGTGATTGCATGCTTTGTGTGATGAGCAGTGCTACTCTCAGGAGAACCGCTTCGCAGCCGTGATGCGTCGGGACCCAAAGCACGCCGAGGAGTTGGACAACAAGCTGCAAGAAAATGTGGTGCAGAAGAATCACCTGCTGCAGGTCCTGAACAAAGAGGACTTGGAAGGGCAGTTCTCCAAGCTGGTCGAAGGTCTTTCGGATGCGAAGAGCTCGGGTGACTCTATCACGGTGCTATATGGCAGTGAGACCGGCAATGCGGAGGAGCAGGCGAAGAATCTGATGCAAGACCTCATTGCACGCGGACTGAAATCCACTGTGAGCTCGTTGGATGACTTCGAGTTCGAGGAGCTGCCAAACCAGAAGATTGTCATCTTGGTGGTGTCCACGTGCGGACTGGGCGAATATCCGGCCAACTGCAAGCAGACCTGGCTCAAGCTCCAGTCTCCGGATCTGCCAATGTCCTGGCTGGCAGGTGTGAAGTTCTGCGTCTTCGGCCTGGGCGACTCCACCTACAGCCAGTTCTGTGTGGCTGCTGCCGGCTTCGACACTCGCTTCGGCGAGCTCGGCGGGCAGCGCATGCTGAAGCGCGGCGTGGGCGACGACCGTGATGAGGACAGGTACTACACTGGTTGGGAGGCCTGGCTGCCGGAGCTGTGGAAGGTTCTCGGGGCTCCGGCTTTGCCGCTGAGCCAAGACATCCCTGCGCCTTCCTATCGCGTGGATGCATCCGCAGGCGACGTGGCAAAGCCACCCATCAGCGATGATGACATCATCCCGCCCGGTGCCAACAGACTCACGCTGCTCACCAACAACGTGCTGACAGGGGATGCCAAGTACGATCGTGATATTCGGCATTATGAGTTCAAGATTGAAGGCACGAACGTTGCGTACAAGACAGGCGAGAGCCTTGCCATCTGGCCCCGCAACCCGGAAGACAAGGTCCTGGAATTCTGTGAGATGATGGGGTTCGATGCCGGGCAGCACCTGCGGATCCTGCCTCTCGAGGGTGCCCGCAACTGGTGTCCTACGGAGCTGAGCGTGCGCCAGCTTTTCTCCCACGTCTTGGACATCTTCGGAAAGCCGAACAGGAAGTTCTTCCAGACGTTGGCTCTCTTCGCAAAGGATGAGGCAGAGAAGAAGCAGCTCCAAAGCATGGTTGAGAACAGCCAGGAGGGTGCCGCCCTTTACCGTGACTTGACACACGACTTCGCACACCATGCAGATGTGCTGAAGAGGTTTGCAAGCGCTCGACCTCCCATCGAGCACTTGCTTCAGATGATGCCAGTCCTCAAGCCCCGCAGCTATTCGATTGCCAGCTCTCCGTTGATGCATCCGGAGAAGATCCAGCTGTGCGTGGTGTTGGTGGACTGGACGGTGGAGAGCACCAAGGAACTCCGCCTGGGCGAGTGCACAGGCCAGGAGTTTTCGACTTAGCAAGGTCTGGGAGTTTGGGGTTTAGGGGTCAAGGCTTCATTGTTTTCGGGTTTAAGGGTTCAGAGTTCAAGGTTGTTTCAGGGTATTACGGCGTATTACGGTATCGGGGTTTCGGGTTTAGGGTTTGCCATATGGTCCGTGCGCTCCTGGCCTAAACCCTGAACTGGCCACTCGCGACTTTGCAAGTTCCCTTTGGGTCTAGGCCTCTTGCGCAATTGAGAAGATCAGCGTTCGTGCAGACATTGGACGCCAGGCTACATGCAGCAGCAGAAACCAGGAGCACAAATCATGTGCGCCGTGCGATCGAGCGCCATCGTGCTGCCCAAGGACACCATGACTGCAAGCCTAAGTGCACCTCCAGCTGCTGAGTTGTGAGCGGTGGAGTTGCTAGGAGGCGGAGAAGCCTGTCATCATGGCGGGCATGGGGACAGGATTGGCCCCGTGGCGTGCTGTCACGCAGGAGCTTTTGATGACGTTGTGCCCTTCTGTGAGCAGAAAAGCAAGCTTGCTGGTCTGATGTTGCCAGGAGCGAGTGATGCAAGCCAGGCAAGGGCTCAAGGTTGGCAAGTGCATGCTGTTCTTTGGAGCCCGGTACAAGCAGGAGCCTCGCAAAGAGTACCGCCTTCATGGGCTGGTTTACTCGGTGTGTCTTGCAGGAGTGGCTCTACAGAGAAGAGTTTGAGAGCTACGAGAAGGAGGGTGTCCTGCAAATGCACACGGCCTTCTCGCGAGAGCAGGCTAGTGAGCACTCCTGCCCTGTGCGGTTCATGTACCAGCGATGCAGTGGTGAGGCACGCAAGATCTACGTGCAGCACAGAATAGTGGAGGCAGCTCCATCGGCGGAGGTTTAGGAGTGCTGTCTCACTTGTTTTCAATACGACTATCGTTCCTGTACTGTACCTTGCTCTCTCACTGGTCGCCTCCATTCCTAAGTTATCCTAAGTTTATTTGACCTTGGCTTGTCTGTTGGTCCCTTCCTGCTCATCTGTTTCCTCATCCGAGATCCTCGCAGCAAGCACCATTCGCAATCATGTGAGGCGGGAGCCGACGTTGCAGAGAGGATGTTGAATCAGGGCGGCCACTTCTATGTGTGTGGATCTGCACGGCAAGTGCCCGAAGATATTTATACTGCCATGAAGGAGGTTTCGTGGCAGCATCACTTGTTTCACGGCGAGGAAACTCAGCAGAATCAGAAGTATGCTCGCTGCCTGGTTCGCCAGGTCATGATGGCACACGAGCGATGTCCTGAAGAAGATGCGGAGGCCATCCTTTCAAATTTGAAGATGGAAGGCCGTCGCTCGGCACGCAATGGTGGAAGGAAGCTTCCTCGAAAAACATGCCATTGAATCGCCTCTTAATTGACCGGGCCCGCAGTGCACGCGCAGGCGAGCAAGTCAAGAAGCTGAGGAACCGAGGCACCCAATGCAGTCACGCTTAGGAGGTTTTGCATTCTGAGGTTACACGGTGGAAGCTTGGTCGTGAGCAGAGTCTCAGGTGCGTGATGCACCGACATTGTTTCCAAAAGTTTCTTAATTTTGGATACCAGGCGAGGAAACGTTGGCTCGCAGGGGTCCAGTCGCTGGCTGCATGGACAATTTGCGCCGGCATTCTCTTTGATAATGTTCTGTCTTGCGGCAGTGGCACGTGGCTCGTACGAGCTTGACAAAGCAGTTCTATGTTACCTTGATAAGATTTTCTTTTGGAGAAGAGCTGATCATCTCACGGGCACCGCCGCAAGCTGTCACGAGCTGCCGCTCACTGCATCCGGGTGAGTGCCAGTTTGAACCACTGACCACGCAAAGAGCGCGGAGGAGTTCTCGCCAAGCTGGTGAGTGCTCGCCAAAAGCAAAAAGGCACAGCCTTGGTTTCCAGGCTCAGGAAGCGACGTCTGTCTTTAGCTGTGCAGCCGCAAGAGAAGTGGCTGGCGCATTAGTTTCGAGGCTCAAGCGACTTTGTCTGAAGCGTCCACAGGTGCCGGCGCTCTGGATTTTTATTCCAGTGATGGCTCTCCGCGGACAGCGGTGGGCTTAAACACCTTGAAAATTCAGGAGCCAGCGTGGCACGTGCTATAGGTGTTCCAGTACTTCCTGCTTTGAGTATGCATCCTTTTTGCGTGATTTCTCTGCCAAGGACAAGCCCCTTCGGTCCCTATGGTGGCCTTTGCCGCCAGTTTCTGATGCGGGATCAGGAACGTCAAGAGGAAACCCCGCAGAGATTAGAGCAGCTTGGGGCAGGGTCTGGTGCGGCAGACGTCGAGTACGAGCAGTTTATGAAGGCCAAGGAAGTGCAGAGGGTTATGTTCCAGCAAGAGAACAAGACCATAGTACATCAATGTGCCGACACGGACATCATCGAGGCTACCACAGGGTCCATTGCATGCATCGATGGGAACCAAGCCGCAGCTCACGTTGCCTACGCCCTCAGTGACTGCGCCTTCATTTATCCCATCACGCCGAGCTCTCCGATGGGAGAGATGGTGGACGAATGGGCCGCGCAAGGCTAGTGTCTCAAAGTTGATGCGATGCTGTGAAATGACTGTGGTGCAGCTGAGCCTCATGTTTGTTTCTGTGTCAGGCCTCATCAACTGCTACGGACAGAAGCTCAGTGTGACGGAGATGCAAAGCGAAGCTGGTGCAGCCGGTGCTCTCCACGGGGCATTGAAAGCAGGTGCCTTCAGCACCACCTTCACTGCAAGCCTCCTGGCCAAAGCATCTGATTAAAACCTTGGAGAATGTTTTGTCGCTGGTGGTTCTGAGTTCTTTCTCCGTTCTGACTGGCAAGTTCTTGAGCAAAGCCAGTGCATGAGATCTCAGGTCAGGGTCTGCTGCTGATGATCCCGAACATGTACAAGATCGCGGGCGAGTTGCTGCCATGCGTCATGCACGTCGCCGCACGGGCTCTGGCGGGACAGGCCTTGTCCATCTTCGGCGACCACAGCGATGTGATGGCCTGCCGCTCGACCGGTTGGGCCATGCTGGCGTCCGAGTCGGTGGAGATGGCGCAGGTGAATGCAATTGTCGCCCACCTTGTGTCCATGGAGCGACGGGTCCCAGTGCAGCACTTCTTTGATGGGTTCCGCACCAGCCACGAGGTGAACAAGATCAAGCTCATCGACTACAACACCATGAAGTCCTTCATCAACTGGGAATCTGTTCAGGAACATCATGACCTAGCAATGAATCCTCGCCACCCGCACGTTCAGGGCACGTCGCAGGGTCCCGACATCTTCTTCCAGTGTGTCGAGGCGGGCAACCGCTTCTATGACGGGCTGGCGGATCTCTTTGAGGAGAAGGGCAAGCTGGTGCAAGAGCAGACCGGCTTGCACTTCGCCCTCTACGGCTATGAAGGGCATCCAGAGGCCAAGCACGTGATTGTGGTGATGGGCAGTGCCGCCGTGACTTGCGGAGAGACGGCCACGTTCTTGTCGAAGCACAAGGGGCAACGTGTCGGTGTGCTGAAGGTGCGTCTTTTCCGGCCCTGGGACAGCTCGCGGTTTCTGGCAGCTTTGCCAAAAACAACTGAGCGTATCTGCGTGCTGGATCGCACCAAGGAGCAGGGGTCCCAAGGAGAGCCGCTCTTGTTGGAGGTTTCCTCGATGCTTCAATTTAGTGCTCATTCCGATATCGTCGTCGTCGGAGGCCGCTACGGACTGGGCTCAAAAGAGTTCACGCCCAACATGGTGCTGTCCGTCTTCGAGAATCTCACCAAGGACAGCCCGAAGCCTAGGTTCACCGTGGGCATCGAAGACGATGTCACACACCTGTCTTTGCCTGTGGGCCCGTGGCTCAATGTGCTTCCAGAGGGCACCACGGAGTGCATGTTCTATGGGCTTGGCAGTGATGGTACCGTCGGGGCAAACAAGAGCGCCGTGAAGATGATTGCCCTGGGAACCGAGCTCCATGCGCAGGCCCGGCCGAGTCTCTCCGTCCCTCTTGCTCGCTGCTCGCTCTCTCTCACTCGCTCTCTCGCTTGCCGCGCTCTGTGCTTCTCTCTCCCTCTGGTTCTGGTTCTGGTTCTGGTTCTGGTTCTGGCTCTGGCTCTCTCTCTCTCTCTCTCTCTCTCTCTCTCTGTGTCTGTTTCTATTTCGCTCGCGCGCTTTCTCTGTCTTTCGCACTCACTCACTCACTCACTCACAGACTCGCTCACTCACAGACTCACTCACTCATTCACTCGCGAGAGTGACCCCCTGTCCCTTCCCTCCCTCTCTTTGTCTCTCTCTCTCGCTCTCTCTGTTGCTTTCTCTGTTGCTCTCTCGCTGGCTCGCTCTCGCTCTCTCTCTGTCTCTGTCTCTCTACGTCTCGCTTGCCCCCTCTCACATGCTGGCATCACCGGAAAGGCATACTTCGAGTATGATGCCAAGAAGAGCGGTGGCGTGACAATCAGCCACTTGAGGTTCGGGCCCAAACCAATTCACGCCCCTTACAACGTCCGTGCTGCCGACTACATGGCCATCCACAAGTCCAGCTACGTGCACAACTATGCGCCCTGCCAGACGTGGAGTTGTAGTCAACTTGCATTGTTTCGTCCGCGCACGTGCTCACAGTTGGAGATTTGAGTTCGGTCTCCTCCTGCTGTCCGCACTTCAAAAAGTTCAATAAATTCTAAGGACATGACCCGCTACCTGAAGCAGAACGCCGTCTGCGTGATCAATTGCTCCTGGGACGTGAAGGAGTTGGAGCAGCAGCTGCCTGCGAAGATGCGGCGCGATCTGGCAGAGAAGAAGGCCCGGGCATGCTGGAGCCAATGCCGACTGATTCCTTCTGATTCAAAGCCGTCATTGCATTTCAGGCAAAGCTGTTCATCATCGATGCTACCAAGATTGCGGTGAAGGCAGGGAGACATCACTAAATCTACCTGGTGTCCTGCCTCGTGCCTGAAAATTGACGGTAGCACAGTCGCGTCTCCTCTCGCAGGCAGCTGTGCGGAAATAGTACCTGCCAATCGAAAGGCCGGCCTGGGCAAACGCATCAACATGATCATGCAAACCGTCTTCTTCAAGCTGAGCGGCCGCCTTAGATACATGCTACATGCGGAATGGTGTGGAGGTCTGCATCTTGCAGCCCAGTTGCATGAAGGTGCCGTCATGCCGTACGAAGAGGCCGTGGAGATGCTGAAGAAGAGCATCAAGAAGATGTATGGCAAGAAGGCGCCGTCGTGAGAATGGGGATGCGGGCTGATCGGCATGTTCTGGCATGTCCAAACCTGCAGGGCGACAAAGTGGTGAAAATGAACATCGATGGGGTCGATGCTTCAATCGAGGGCATCGTGGAATGCGAAGTTCCAGCTGCTTGGGCATCTCTGGCAGTCGACACGGAGGCTCGTGCATGTCTTCTACGAATTGCAGATGGTGACGGTTTTCCAACGTTTCCATGCAAGTCTCGATTGCGCGTCAAAGTTTCTTGACAGGCTTCCGATGCCAAGAAAAGCATGGTCGCCTATGCCAAGGGGCCCCGCATGTTTCCGGAAGTGCAGAATGCCTCGCAGTTTGCCGCGCAAGTGCAGAAACCTTGCAACAATCTGGATGGTAACTCTCTTCCTGTGAGCGCCTTTGTGCCCGGTGGCCGCGTGCCATGTGGTACCAGTCAGTACGAGAAGCGTGGCATTGCCATCCAGGTGCCTACGGTAGACATGGACAAGTGCACTCAGTGCAACAAGTGCAGTCTGATCTGCCCCCATGCAGCTGTGAGACCATTCCTGATGACCTCTCAAGAGCTTGGGAAAGCACCGGCATCGTTCAAGGAAGGCAGTCGTTCTGCCATCGGAGGAGGTGTGTTGGATAACTACCAATACCGCATTCAGGTGTCGCCTTGGGACTGCACTGGCTGCGAGCTTTGCGTGCGCATTTGCCCCGCGGATGCACTTACCTTGGGTCCGGCCGAGAAGGTCATTCAGGAAGAGGAGGCCAACTGGAACTTCGCCGTGGCGCTACCAGACCGCGGCGACGAAATTGACAAGACGACGGTCAAGGGCTCCCAGTTTCAGAAACCATACCTTGAGTTCTCAGGGGCGTGCGAGGGCTGTGGCGAGACGCCGCACGTGAAGCTGATGACACAGCTCTTCGGCGATCGACTTGTTATTGCCAATGCCACAGGCCAGAATCACAAGCAGTCGGACTTAAAACAACTGTGCTGTTGTCAGTCTCTTGTGTTACTTCCGAAAAGTGTACGGTTGTCAGTCTCTTGTGTTACTCGTCGTACTACATTGGCAGGCTGCTCCTCGATCTGGGGTGGCTCCAACCCATCCTTCCCGTACACCACGAACAACAAGGGAGAGGGTCCTGCATGGGCCAACTCCTTGTTCGAAGACAACGCTGAGTTCGGCTTCGGCATGCGCAAGGCTCGCCCGCGGCAATGCGGCGCCACGTGCTGACAGAGGCAACGTGAATCTGTTGAATGTGTTCAGCGAGGCCTTCAAGCAGCGCCGCGACTACCTCGCAATGCAAGTGGAGGTCTGCACTCCGTTTGAGCTGAGGGCCCGGTCGGGTGTTTCCGGTCGCAGGCGGTTTCGTGCTGGCATATGTTGACCTGCAGGACACCTTGGCGGATAAGTCCGTGACGATGTCCGACGAACTTCGTCAGGCACTGCAGCAGTACTTGGTGATGCGCAAGGACGCACATCCCCTCTGACCATGTCGGACGTGTAAGGAAGATCAAATTTTGCCGTCGTTCGCAGGAGCAGATGCACGACCTCTTGCTGCCCAAGGGCCGCAGCCACTCATCTGTCTGGCTGGAACATGCTGGCACGGTGTGGCTTGCCCTGCGCAGCATCGTCGTGTCGCTGGACCTGAGGCATCTACCATCAGATCATGGAGAAGCTCGTGCCGCTTTTGGAGAAGGACCTGAGTTTTCCACTCATGATCACTGGGCCAGCTCCACTACTTGCTTTTTCAGGAGAAGACCGCACATCCAAAGATCCACAACCTCTACGACTTGCCACTCAGCGAACCATGCAGTCACCGTCGGAACAGCCAATGTCTTCGGTTCAATCTGTACCATCTGTACCATGCATCGTTGACGCAGTAGTTGCTACAGCCAAGGGAAGACATGTTCGGCCGCAGCAGCTTCTGGATTGTTGGTGGGGACGGCTGGGCCTACGACATCGGGTACGGTGGCCTGGACCACGTGATTGCCAGCGAGGAGCACGTGAACATCCTCGTCCTTGACACGGAGATGTACAGCAACACGGGCGGTCAGGCGTCCAAGGCAACACCCAAGGGAGCGATGGCCAAGTTTGCCGAGGGTGGCAAGCTCACGCAAAAGAAGGACCTGGGCCAGATGGCCATGGCGTACAAGAACGTTTACGTCGCAAGCATTTGCGTACATGTGAACCCTCAGCAAGCTGTGCGAGCCATGATTGAGGCGGATGCCTATCCAGGCCCTAGCCTGATTCTGTCCTACACCCCATGCATTAGTCAAGGCTTCCCGATGGCGGAGTCAATCCAGCATTGCCAGATGGCCGTTGACAGCGGCTACTGGCCGCTCTACCGCTATAATCCTGAGGCTGCGGCGCACGGCAACAATCCCTTCCAGCTCGACAGCCGAAAGATCAAGGGCGACCTGTTCAAGCTCCTGGCAAAGGACGGGGGAGAGGGGCAGGAAATGGGAAGCCAGCGCAGTGATTCAGATGTCATGCCCTGCCAAGTGATTGCATGCTTCTGTGATGAGCAGTGCTGCTCTCAGGAGAACCGCTTCGCAGCCGTGATGCGTCGCGACCCAAAGCACGCCGAGGAGTTGGACAACAAGCTGCAAGAAAATGTGGTGCAGAAGAATCACCTGCTGCAGGTCCTAAACAAAGAGGACTTGGAAGGGCAGTTTTGCAAGTTGGTCGAAGGTCTTTCGGATGCGAAGAGCTCGGGTGACTCCATCACGGTGCTATATGGCAGTGAGACCGGCAATGCGGAGGAGCAGGCGAAGAATCTGATGCAAGACCTCATTGCACGCGGACTGAAATCCACGGTGAGCTCGTTGGATGACTTCGAGTTCGAGGAGCTGCCAAACCAGAAGATTGTCATCTTGGTGGTGTCCACGTGCGGACTGGGCGAATATCCGGCCAACTGCAAGCAGACCTGGCTCAAGCTCCAGTCTCCGGATCTGCCAATGTCCTGGCTGGCGGGCGTGAAGTTCTGCGTCTTCGGCCTGGGCGACTCCACCTACAGCCAGTTCTGTGTGGCTGCTGCCGGCTTCGACACCCGCTTCGGCGAGCTCGGCGGGCAGCGCATGCTGAAGCGCGGCGTGGGCGACGACCGTGATGAGGACAGGTACTACACTGGTTGGGAGGCCTGGCTGCCGGAGCTGTGGAAGGTTCTCGGGGCTCCGGCTTTGCCGCTGAGCCAAGACATCCCTGCGCCTTCCTATCGCGTGGATGCATCCGCAGGCGACGTGGCAAAGCCACCCATCAGCGATGATGACATCATTCCGCCCGGTGCCAACAGACTCACGCTGCTCACCAACAACGTGCTGACAGGGGATGCCAAGTACGATCGTGATATTCGGCATTATGAGTTCAAGATTGAAGGCACCAACGTTGCGTACAAGACAGGCGAGAGCCTTGCCATCTGGCCCCGCAACCCGGAAGACAAGGTCCTGGAATTCTGTGAGATGATGGGCTTCGATGCTGGGCAGCACCTGCGGATCCTGCCTCTCGAGGGTGCCCGCAACTGGTGTCCTACGGAGCTGAGCGTGCGCCAGCTTTTCTCCCACGTCTTGGACATCTTCGGAAAGCCGAACAGGAAGTTCTTCCAGACGTTGGCTCTCTTCGCAAAGGATGAGGCAGAGAAGAAGCAGCTCCAAAGCATGGTTGAGAACAGCCAGGAGGGTGCCGCCCTTTACCGTGACTTGACACACGACTTCGCACACCATGCAGATGTGCTGAAGAAGTTTGCTAGTGCACGACCTCCTATCGAGCACTTGCTTCAGATGATGCCAGTCCTCAAGCCCCGCAGCTATTCGATTGCCAGCTCTCCGTTGATGCATCCGGACAAGATCCAGCTGTGCGTGGTGTTGGTGGACTGGACGGTGGAGAGCACCAAGGAACTCCGCCTGGGCGAGTGCACAGGCCAGAAGTTTTCGAAAGGCAAGGTTTACGGAGTGACGGTGTAGGGTTTTTGGGGTCAAGGCTTCATTGTTTTCGGGTTTAAGGGTTCAGGGTTTCAGGCCTTTAGGGTAGAGCGGTTGCGGGAACAGAACTATACAAACCTTTGCAGGCGTGGGGTCAAGGCTCGGGTTGGAGGGTTCAGGGTTTCAGGGTTTTGGGGTAGAGGCATAGGCATAGGGGTTTCGGGTTTAGGGTTGGTGGTGTGGTGCGCACTCGTCAAAGCATTCGGAAGCTATACAAACCTATGGAGGCGTGGAAACGACCCGGGTGAACCCTGTCGTGCGTAAACCGTGAACCCCAACCACCCTAAATACCTTCGAGATTTGTTTCATGCACATTCGCGACTTTGCAAGTGCCCTTTTAGTCTAGGTTTCTTGTGTAATTGAGGAGTTCAACGTTCGTGCAGCCACTGGACGCCAGGCTACATGCAGCAGCAGAAGCCGGGAGCACAAATCATGTGCGCCGTGCGATCGAGCGCAATTGTGCTGCCCAAGGACACCACCGCTGCAATCGTGAGTGCACCTCGAGCTGAGTTGTGAGCGGTGGAGTTACTAGGAGCCGGAGAAGCCTGTCATCATGGCGGGCATGGGGACAGGATTGGCCCCGTGGCGTGCTGTCACGCAGGAGCTTTTGATGACGTTGTGTCATTCTGTGACCAAAAAAGCAAGCTTGCTGGTCTGATGTTGCCAGGAGCGAGTGATGCAAGCCAGGCAAGGGCTCAAAGTTGGCAAGTGCATGCTGTTCTTTGGGGCCCGGTACAAGCAGGAGCCTCGCAAAGAGTGCAGCGTTCATGCTTTGGTGCACTCATTGTATTTTGCAGGAGTGGCTCTACAGAGAGGAGTTTGAGAGCTACGAGAAGGAGGGTGTCCTGCAAATGCACACGGCCTTCTCGCGAGAGCAGGCTAGTGAGCACTCCTGCCCTGTGCGGTTCATGTAGCAGCGATGCAGTGGTGAGGCACGCAAGATCTACGTGCAGCACAGAATAGTGGAGGCAGCTCCATCGGCGGAGGTTTAAGACTGCTGTCTCCTCTGAATCTGTGAAGTGCGGTATCGCTCCAGTAGAAGTCTGCGTGTTTGCTTGCAAGAGTCTGTGGTGCCTTCCCGCTCATTTGTGTCCTCATCGGAGTTCCTCACTGGAAGCAGCGTTCGCAATCATGTGAGGCGGGAGCCGACGTTGCAGAGAGGATGTTGAATCAGGGCGGCCACTTCTATGTCTGTGGATCTGCACGGCAAGTGCCCGAGGATATCTATACTGCCATGAAGGAGGTTTCTTGGCAGCATCGCTTGTTTTGTGGGTAGGAAGCGCACGCAGCGGAATCACAAGCGTGCTCGCTTCCTGGTTCGCCAGGTCATGATGGCACACGAGCGATGTCCTGAAGAGGAGGCGGAGGCGATCCTCTCAAATTTGAAGATGGAAGGCCGTCGCTCGGCGGGCAATGGTGGAAGGAAGCCTCCTGAAAAACATGCGATTCAATCGAACATAATCGATTCTTTTGTTACTGGGCCCGAAGTGCAGGCACCGGGCAAGCAAGTCACGAGACGGAGGAATCGAGACACCGAATGCAGTCACGCCTAGGAGCTTCTGCATCCTGAGGTTACACGGTGGAAGCTTGGTCGTGAGCAGAGTCTCAGGTGCGTGATGCACCGACATTATTTCCAAAAGTTTCTTAATTTTGGATACCAGGCGAGGAAACGTTGGCTCGCAGGGGTCCAGTCGCGGGCTGCATGGACAATTTGCGCCGGCATTCTCTTTGATAATGTTCTGTCTTGCGGCAGTGGCACATGGCTCGTACGAGCTTGACAAAGCAGTTCTATGTTGCCTTATGTTGCCTTAATAAGATTTTCTTTTGGAGAAGAGCTGATCATCTCACGGGCACTGCCGCAAGCTGTCACGAGCTGCCGCTCACTGCATCCGGGTGAGTGCCAGTTTGAACCACTGACCACGCCACGAGCGCGGAGGAGTTCTCGCCAAGCCGGTGAGTGCTCGCCAGGAGTGAAAAGGTACAGTTTTGGTTCTCAGGCTCCTTCTTTCAAACGATGCTGTCTTAAAATGAAGGAACCGTCGAAGGTTGAGCTTGCCACGTGGGATCTGCTGGCCATGTCGGGATCAATGCTTTCCATTGGCTGCAGTCACCCGTGCGTGTGACTCCTCGCAAAGGCTGGGGCATTTCCAGATTGTCTGTGGGATTTGTATGCTTTCAAAGTCGGTGCTGTTCGCTGAACGAGCGTCTGCTTTGTTAAACATTTTCCGACGTGTCTTTCATGATCTTTGATGTGATGGCTTCCGTTGCAATTTTGTTCTGGTTGCCCCGACATTCGTGACCCTCATTCGCTGCAGATATAGCCGACGTGAATTTTGCCCAACGGTTCCATCTAGTGAGTTGGTAAATCATGCTCAGGTTAGTTCTTCCATCGTCCACATCTTGACTGCAGCATCGAGCTTTACACCCCACGCCGTGCACCGTTTGCAAAGGCGTAGAGAACCAAAGACTTTGATTCCTAAACCCCTAGGCCTGAAACCAGGCCTTGGGCGCTAAGGCCTCAGGCCCCAGGCCTCAGCAATATGGGAGTTTCCGAAAATTAGGGTACCTTAGTTTGGGGTCCTTGTAATAAGGATTATACTATTAGGGTGCCAAAGTTTTTTTTGGGATCTCCTGTTTTCGGGATAACTCCCGTATGGACCCTAAACGGCAGTCTACCCTACCCTCGGCCTCGGACTTAGGGCTTAGTAAGGCCTAATAGGCCCGCCAAGAGGATTGCCGAGTGGGCTGGGGGTTCGATTTCCTGAGAGGTCGGGGCTTCAGATGGAGGAGGCGGAGGCACAGTCGCGCTGGATTGGCGAGTCTGGTCTCACCAGCTTTCATAGGCTTGGGTACGGTGTCTCAAACACGGGGACCATGCTCTGAAGTCTTTGTTCCTCGGTGTTTGTCGACATGCGTCGAGTCAACACCTTCGGCCAGGCCACCCGAGCGGCGCCTCGTGTGGCAGTGCCCCGCGTGCCGACCGGGTGGGGGGGCTCTTCTTTCAAGTTTGCGCCTTTGCAGTGCATGGATGCTTGTGACACACATGAAGTGGATGTTGGCACTCAGGTCATTGCGGTCATGTTAGTGATGAAGACGGGACAACCACGAACAACAACGCGACCAGGGAACAGTGTATGACTTGGGTCGTTCATATCCATGGACTCTGACCTTCATATCACTGTTTGTAGTTGAAATAGTTTCTGGAGCAACAGCTGCGGAAGTCGTCGTCGCAGCAGTCGTTGTCTACTGACAGCGCGATCATACTAGCAGTGCTGATGGCAACATCCATGTCATTGATCATGATACCGTTGTGCATTACTGGTAGTGTTCTATTTGGTAGTATTGTAGGTCATGCTGATGGACACGATAGTGGTAGTGATGTCGACAAAATGCTACGATGGTGAGAACGACGAGGAGGAGAAGGATGAAGAGCAGGCGATAAGGATATTTGTTTCCATGATGCCCTTCATGATCATCTCGAGCCGGTGACCCGTGTCATTGCAAGCAGCATCATCAACTTACCCGCATAGTCGTCTTCGTCTTTGTCATCGCTCCTCATCATCACCATCTTATTCATCGCCCTTGTCATGCGGCACACTCCGTGGTATCACCATCATTTCTGGGGCAGGCCACGGCCAGCAGCAGGTCGCAGGCGGCCCTGCTTAGCCTCGACCTCAGGGCCAGGGAATAGTGTGCGCTTGGGCGTTGCGCTGCTTGATCCGGTATCAGTATCGGTACCAATGGAATCAAGCGTGAAGTCATGAAGACCTCCGGTAACTCTTCTCGATGGCTGGGAAAGGCCTGCGCAAAGCTGGAGAGGCAGGAAACCTCCGTCGAAGCTGTAACCTTTTGGCGGCAGGTCAGTTTCCCTTGCCCGCGACCAAACCGGACCAACAGTTTTGGTACATCAGCGGGCAGTTTGTCGTGGACATGCGTGAAAGTTCCAAAGGCCTTAACCTTCCTGACCCAAAGACAGCGAGAAGGGTGCTGTTCCCAGCTCATCTTCAGCCCGCAAGCCCTTCAGAGGCAGCAGTAGCAGTAGCAGTAGTAGGAGTATAGTACTACGCTAGTACTACACTAGTACGTAGCAGTAGCAGTAGTAGGAGTATAGTACTACGCTAGTACTACGCTAGTACTACACTAGTACTAGTACTAGTAGTTGTAGTAGTTGTAGGTGTAGTAGTAGTAGTAGTAGTAGTAGTAGTAGGAGGAGGAGGAGGAGGAGGAGGAGGAGGAGTAGTACAGGGTGTTGTTACCATGACAAGCTTTTGATGTACATTGAGAAGCTTTCTGTATACAGCGTCAAGCTACCATGAGTTCACCATGACAGTTCATCGATCCTGATATTATTGTGCAGCTTTCGTCATGACGACCATGATTTAGACTTTCATGGTGACTTAGATCTTGGCCAGTCATCAGGGCGCGACTTCCTACGAAGATACCATCACTTCCCCTTTCTGTTCTAACTTTACTTCTCTCGCCGGGCCCATGGCGACTTCGCAGGCACGGACTCTGCATTGTACATTTGCAAGTCGTTTTGAGGTGCCGACTTGAAGCAGCATCAACTTGTGCACATGCCCGGGCAATCATCAGCGGCAGCAAGTGCATGCAGAATCAGATCATGATCGCACATGCAGCCTCGCATCATGATCAGGAGCAGGTACATGCAGCAGGTACTTGCGCAGTCAGATATCATCAGCACGTGCTCAGTTTAATTTAAACCCGAACTTAGACACATTGACCGTGGCATGACGCAATCGCGTCGGAAACTCGACTACTCTCCTTGTGACGATGTGATATCTCAAGACGGATTCAGAGCTCCCGGAAGATCTTCTTCGTCCGGCCGCACGTCGTTGGGCTCAGGGTGCTGGCAAGACTCTTGGAAGTTGCTCGCAGCCAAACCGATGCCCGGCAGCTGAACCCACCTTCTCTTGCACGGCACGATGCTTCAAGCATCCTGGTTCGCACATGGATGCTCTACGGGCATGGATGGGGTTTGATCTGGACGTTATCATGGTTGGCACACGGATGCTCTACGGGCATGGATGGAGTCTGATCTGGACGTTATCATGGTTAGCACATGCATGCATGGATGCTCTGCGGGCATGGATGGAGTCTGATCTGGACGTTATCATGGTTGGCACATGGATGCTCTACGGGCATGGATGGGGTTTGATCTGGACGTTATCATGGTTGGCACATGGATGCTCTGTGGGCATGGATGGGGTCTGATCTGGACGTCATCATGGTCCTCTGCGGGCATGGATGGAGTCTGATCTGGACGTTATCATGGTTGGCCTCTAAGGGCATGGATGGGGTCTGGGCATGGATGGGGTCTGATCTGGACGTTATCATGGTTGGCACATGGATGCTCTGCGGGCATGGATGGGGTCTGATCTGGACGTTATCCTGGTTCGCACATGGATGCTCTACGGGCATGGATGGGGTTTGATCTGGACGTTATCATGGTTGGCACACGGATGCTCTACGGGCATGGATGGAATCTGATCTGGACGTTATCATGGTTAGCACATGGATGCTCTGCGGGCATGGATGGAGTCTGATCTGGACGTTATCATGGTTGGCACATGGATGCTCTACGGGCATGAATGGGGTTTGATCTTGACGTTATCATGGTTGGCACATGGATGCTCTGTGGGCATGGATGGGGTCTGATCTGGACGTTATCACGGTTGGCACATGGATGCTCTGCGGGCATGGATGGAGTCTGATCTGGACGTTATCATGGTTGGCACATGGATGCTCTGCGGGCATGGATGGGGTTTGATCTGGACGTGATCATGGTTAGCACATGGATGCGCTGCGGGCATGGATGGGGTCTGATCTGGACGTTATCATGGTTGGCACCATGTATGCTCTGCGGGCATGGATGGAGTCTGATCTGGACGTTATCATGGTTGCTCTGCGGGCATGGATGGGGTCTGATCTGGACGTTATCATGGTTGGCACATGGATGCTCTGCGGGCATGGACGGGGTCTGATCTGGACGTTATCATGGTTCGCACATGGATGCTCTGCGGGCATGGATGGGGTTTGATCTGGACGTTATCATGGTTGGCACACGGATGCTCTACGGGCATGGATGGAGTCTGATCTGGACGTTATCATGGTTGGCACATGGATGCTCTACGGGCATGGATGGGGTTTGTATCATCAAACTGTTGCCAGCATCCATGACTTCCTGCTTTTTTCTCAGCCTGATCCTCATCCTGATCTTCATCCTCATCAACATCATCTGCCTCATTGTCCAAGTGTCCGAATGACACAGACAGACACTGTATGAAGTGATTGAGCGAACAGCGATTCTTTGGTCGCACGAAGCATGAACTATTTGTTCTCCCAATCCCGTCAAAGCACATTGGTGTTCGTGACTTGTGTGTGAAACACAAAATAGCAAACTCCCCAACACCCAGGACCCCAAGTCGCGGAGAAAGGCACGGAACGCCAAGGATTCGCGGCGAAGCTTCGCTTTGTCATGGCAAACCAGACCGCGCTGCTGTGCAGGACTCCGCAGAGCCCAGCTCCAGCTCCTCCAAGAGGCGCAAGAAGTCTGCCGAGGACGCGCTCGTGGTAGAGTGTGCTTGAATACGAACAGCAAGCTCCCCGACCCAGGCTTGCCCCACCAGCCGCATCAGTGAGTGTGTTGCTCACAACGCTGCAAAGATGTTTCGCAAAACGTATAGTGGCGATATTCGTGAGGAATAGAACCAATACAGCACCGTTTTGTTGTTTTGATTTTGGCTTTTCATGCCAACACCGAAAGAGTTTCACTCGTCCAAAGGAGCTTAACTTCACGGTCTTTATTCTGTTTGGCAAGCCTGCGAGGAGCCTAGCGGGCTTCATCGTGGTGATTGGCAATCACCGGGTGTGGCGTCTACTTCCGCCAAGGACGCATTCGTGTCGGCGGCTTCTGTGGAATAGCCAAGTTGCCCGACCCAGGAGACAGAGAAAGCGACACCGAAAGAGAGAAGGGCACTTGCTTCCGCCGAGGACGCATTCCTGTCGGCGGCTTCTGTGGAATAACAAAGCAAGTTGCGCGACCCAGAAGACCCAGAAAGAGACACCGAAAGAGAGAAGGGCACAGAGAGCCAAGGACTTGCGGCGAAGTTTCGCTGTGCGTGGGGTTTAGAAGCCAGTTCGCACTGTTGCTGCTGCTTGTTCCCATGCCAGGACTCCAGCCAGAAGCAAACAGAGCCTAAGAAAGGGGCGCGGAAAGCCAAGGAGCTGAAGTCACGGCTGAGGTTTGGCTTCTTTACCTTTATTCTGTTTGGCAAGCCTGCGAGGAGCCTAGCGAGCTTCATCGTGGTGATTTCCAGTCGCCGGTTGTGGTGTCTCCTTCCGCCGAGGACGCATTCGTGTCGGCGGTTTGTGTGGACTTGCAAAGCAAGTTGCTTGAGTTCCCATGCCAGGACTCCGACCAGAAGCAGGCAGAGCTTGAAAAGCTCAAGACTTCCTCGGAGAGTTCTGCCAAGGATGCATTAGTGCTGGCGGTTTGTGTGGGGCAGCAAGGCAAGTTGCCCGACCCAGGAGACCCAGAAAGGGACGCCGAAAGAGCCCAAGCCCCAGAAAAGGGCGCAGAGAGCCAAGGACTCACGGCGAAGCTTCGCTGTGCGCGGGGTTTAGAAACCAGTTCGCACTGCTGCTACTTGCTCCCATGCCAGGACTGCGGCCAGAAGCAAGCAGAGCCTGAAAAGCTCGAGAGTTCCTCTTCTTCGAAGACTTCTGCCGAGGACGCATTCGGGTTGGCGGCTTGTGTGTGGAATAGGAAAGCAAGGAGCTGAAGTCACGGAGACGGGCACAGAGTGCCAAGGACTCGCGGCGAGGTTTCGCTTTGTCTTGAGGTCCGCTGCTCCTGCTGCTTTTTCCCATGCCAGGACTCCGAACAGGAGCATACAAAGCCCAGGTCCTCCAAGAAGCTCAAGACTTCTGCCGAGGACAGATTCGTGTGTTCTTTGCTTGTAATACCGGGATATAACCAAAGGAGCTGCATTTCACTGTCCTGACGGGGCGAATCGCTGGAATTTCCCTTTCTTTGCTTTTATTCTGCATGGTAAGTTTGCGAAGACTATATATAGCTCCGGGAGGGTTTCCTTATTCTGCTGGACCTCAAACGGTCGAAATATGGGTCCTTTGAACCTAATACCGGAATAAAGCCAAAGGAGCTGCATTTCACGGTTCTGACGGGGCGAATCCGCTGAAATTGGCTTTCTTTGCTTTTATTCTGCATGGCAAGCCCTCGAGAAGACTGCCTTGGGAGGATCTCAAACGGTCGAAATATGGCTTCTTTGCCGTTATTTTTGGAATAAATCCAAAGCAGCTTCATTTCACGGTCTAGACAGGGCGAATCGGCTGAATTTCGCTTTCTTTGCTTTTATTCCCATACCAGGAGACTACGAAAGCGAAGCCGAAGGCCAAGGGGCAGCCGAAGAGAAAGAGAAAGAACGCGGAGGACACCCTGGTCGGGCATACAGACCAGCACGCAGTGTCACTTTCTGTTCCCGTGCCAGGAGCCTTGTGAGGCCTCAGAAGCCGAGGAAGACGACACAGAGGTGTTCACAGAGCCCGACGAACATGCCCGCCAGATGATGTTGCAACAAGCATCACCTCTCGACAAGACAATCTCCGCAACAGAGAGCCGGCATGAAGAGTTGGCGCCACAGATGCGAGGTGGCAAGCGAGTTGCTGGACAACGTCAGCAGAAGCAGTTCACTCTTGAGCGAAGCTTGCGAGGTGCTGAGTGCCGTCGGGAATACCAGATTCCCGCCGCGGCGTTCGAGCGACTCTTCAAAGACATCGCTTCGCAGGTGACATCTGACCTCGAAGAAGATGTCGCTTGTGCAGCGGAGGCTTTGGCTTTGGAGGAAGGAGAGCGTGGCAAGAGGCGACGAGGGCGACCGTGCAAGAAGGAAAGTCTTGCTTTTACGGTGCCGCAGTTCCAAAAGAAGACGATCCGCCTCGCGCACCACATGTGCGAGGACTTCTTGCAAGGCATGTTCTCGGACTCGCATCGACTCAGCCAGCATGCAAAGCGCTCAACGACGACACTGCGAGACTTGAGGCTGGCGGCTGAGCTGCGAGCAGGGGCGATGCAGAAGCACAGCGAGGACAACGAGTTCCGTGTGATGCAGTCGATTCTGGCAGAGCGAAGGCGGCGAGCCTGCTAAAGTCTCACCCTGACTGGTGCCACAGTCCGAGGTGTGTAGTTTAAAGCTGGGGATGTGGTTCGTACTAAAGTTTGGAGTAAAGCACCTTCAGTGACTGCAGAAAACCACATCCTGGACCTTAAAGGGACGCTGGCAATCGCCATGCTTTGCGGATTGCCGCCGCGGAAGCAAAAAGTTGTGCGACAGAAGCGGTCCTGTCATGAAACAGGCTGTCCTTGTCACAGTGTGGTTTCTCATGTGCTTAGCGTGGCGCAGACGAATTCTTTGTCGTGGTGCGGTCTTGCATGTCTTGGCGTGGTTGCAACGCCCCCTCTAGTAGTAGTAGTAGAGTAGTAGTAGTAGTAGTAGTAGTAGTAGTAGTAGTAGTAGTAGTAATAATAGTAGTCGAAGTAGTAGTAGTAGTAGTAGTAGTAGTAGTAGTAGTAGTAGTAGTAGTAGAAGTAGAAGTAGTAGTAGTAGTAGTAGTAGTAGTAGTAGTAGTAGTAGTAGTAGTAGTAGTAGTCGTAGTAGCAGTAGTAGTAGTTGTAGTAGTAGTAGTAGTAGTAGTAGGCGTAGTCGTAGTCGTAGTCGTAGTCGTAGTCGTAGTAGTAGTAGTAGTAGTAGTAGTAGTAGTAGCAGCAGTAGTAGCAGTAGTAGTAGCCGTGGTGGTGGTAGTAGTAGTAGTAGTAATAGCAGTAGTAGTAGTCGTAGTGGTGGTAGTGGTAATGGTAATGGTAGTAGGGGTAGTCTTTCCGCATAATTAGTGCTAGAAGTTGTCGTCACACCGTCACTGGTTGGCGGCTACTGCTAAGCGGTAATGTTATCCGCTGGAAATTGTGCCGGCAGTGTAATAAAGTGTATGGGCAGTTAGTTGGCAATCGCATACTAGTCGTTGCGATAGCTAATATGTAGAATGCTAAAATCTGCTGGGAACAAGTCGTAGTCGCGCCAAGACGTTTGCAACTATAGACAGTTCCAAAAGAGGTACATGTCTTTAGAGTCAGTGTGACTCAAAACATATGCGCTGGTGATCCCGGACGGTGATGACTATGTCGACGATGCGGGGGATAGAAATTAGGGTGCTGGGACGCTTCTGGGCGAGGACGATGTTGATGTCCGGACGCTTTTAGTGTTGATGAATTTGCCTCTCTGTTTGGGGTTGGGGCTGTGGTGGTGGTGGTGGTGGTGGTGGTGGTGGTTTTGACCGTGGGGACTGTTGTCGTTGTTGTTGCTGCCGACGACGACGAAGATGATGATGATGTCGACGACGACAACATGGAAAAATACTCTCTAAGAGAGTGATGGTGGTGCTGATGGGCAAGGCTCTTGTCGAGTGTTTTGATATCCTTGCGCTTTTGGTTTTCGTCCATACACAGGGACGAGTTTCAAGTATCTTCGGGAAATCAATGCCCAGGCAGCGAGCTCACGGCCGCATGACGTGCCATCTCAGGCCGTGTGCTGTCGGACAAGACGAAGTGTACCTTTGTCTATTTCCGGCATATCGGGTCCGGAACGGAGGTTCAGCAGGAAAGTTTTGGAGTTTAGGAGTCCAGTGTCATCTGTGTCGGGTCTTCGGGTATCCTTGATCAAGTGATACGGGCTTGTTGGTAGTCGGTAAATCTGGAAAAATGATCCTAAGCCAGGAGCATGACCTAAAGCTGTTCGTGGCTCCTCTCAGAAGCTGCCAAGCTTTGGCAGTATAGTAGGACCCTACTATAGATCCGTATAGACCCCTTTAAAGGACCCCTTAAAGGAACCCTATGCTACAGTTGGGCCACAGCTGCGGCGCGCGCGCTCGCGCGGTGGCGGCCGGCAGGCTGCCTGAGGAGGCTCTCGGCACATTTCAAGCAGGGCCCACGTGCGCTTCAAGGGCCTTGGTAATAATGGAGAAGCGTATTTCTCACATACTGGAAGAATTGAAAATATTAGTTTTGAACCTTACCAAGCTGCTAGGCCCTGGGCCCAAAAATACCAGGGACCGCCACGATATTTCTGCTCTGCAGGAGGACCCGTCCTTCCCGATGGTTCCACAGATCCATCCTGTCGCATGGGTGGTGCCTCAGATCGCTGGCATTTTGTGAATCTCCAGGCTGCACGATTGAAGGACGGCTGATCTGCAAAACGAGGTCAGAGCCCTGCGGAAGGCGGCGAGTTCATCCGCTGAAGGCACAGGGGGTGGACAGGGCCGCCGTGGTGTTGGCAAGTTGAACGATAGAACAGGTCAGGGGGGGCCTGTGGTGTGCACCTGCGGCCCCGAGCATCCTAGCAGGAGCTGCACCGATGCGCGAGACAGCGCAGGCGTCCGTGAGCGCCATGATTTGCTTCATCTGTAGTTTTGTGCTTCGTCGTGTGAGCTGAGTAGTGTTCACTTCGGCAAAGCATGAATTGCCGCTGCATGGCGGCAAGTGTTCTGGCTAACCTGCTATAGGGGTGGGAATCCGTTGTAGTCCGCACAATATAAGCCATTCCTGTAACCCTTGAATGAACCCGTAAAGGAGTCTGTTCTACTCAATAAGGCTCTTGCATGAAACGCCCTCAAAGCAGCCCTTACAGTCTTACAGTGTCCCTTATTAAAAGTCTAGTAACCTTGTACAGGATCTGCTAAAGGAACCTTTGAATCATTATGGCCCGGTATTATGCTCCAAGCTTCTGGAGAGTCAGCTGACAGGATCGGCAAGGACCATCAGATCCTGATCGGGCGAAGGTTCCGGACAAATTTGCATCATGCGGGTTCAAGGGTTCAGGGTGTAGAAGCGGCGCAGGCGATGCTCGCCTGGTTGACTATTCTGCTAAAGCGGCACAGCTGTTCCCTGCTCGCGTTTTCGGATATCTCGCAGGGCGGACTTGGGCGAAGGCTTGCATTTTTGGTATTCTGCAGCCTTGGCGAACAGAGGTCGGCGGTGAATTCTGGTCACTGCGCAGTTACTTTTCCGACAAGTCGTAGAACTCTTCTCCACCGGTGGCTCAGTGCGCGAGCCTTCGACGGCAAAGCCCGACTTTGCTCGCAGTTCTTGAAAGCTGTCGACTTGCAGTCGGCAACGCCACACACCGCACAGTTCCTAACCCTCCGGCATCACGTAGCACGGCCGGGAGGGTACAACTTGCTGCTACTACGGTTTCTACTACTACCTACTACCTACTACTACCTACTGCCTACTACTGCCTACTACCTCCTATCACTACTACTACTACTACTCCTCCTCCTCCTCCACTTACTACTGCTACTCCTCCTACTGCTACTGCTACGGCTACTACTACTTCTCCTCCTACTGCTGCTGCTCCTGCTGCTGCTACTGCCAGGGCTACGGCTGCAGCTACGGCTACTCCTGCTACGGCTATCTCTACCGCTACCGCTCCTGCTACCTATTGCCCCCGCAGCTGCTACCGCTGCTGCTACTGAGTTCTGCTACTGCTACTGCTGCTGCTGCTGCTGGATGCAATGCTCGCATGGCAAAAAGATTTGCTTGCATGCTTGGTAGTTGAGACGAAGCATCTTGAAATGTATAGGCCATAGATGCAAACCGCCAACCTGCGACTCAAAGATACTCAAAGCCTCCAACGGAATCCGGAACCCTTAGCTTTGAATCCGACTGCGGGAGGCGCAGGCCGTCTCAGCGCTGCAGCGGCTTTTTTTCGAGGCCCTGGCGGCCGGTGAGGCCAGCAATTTCCGGAGCGCTGAAGAGCACCGGAAAAGCAGCAACAAACGCATCAAAAGATACCGGCAACCACGTCGCGGTAGGTGTAGCGTTCTAAGTAGTGGTGGTGGTGGTGGTGTCCTTGGCGGTGGCAGGCAGCGGTGATTGTGGGGGTGCTAGTGGTACTTATCGGCGGTGGTAGTGGCGGAGGTAGTGGTCGTGGTGGCAGTGGTGATAGTGGTTGTGGTAGTGCTAGTGGTCGTGGTAGTGGTGCAGGTAGTGGAATTGCTTGTGGTAGTGGTAAGGGTCGGGGTAGTTGCAGTGGTGGCAGCACTAGTCAGTCGCGGTGGTCGGGGTCGTAGTTGCAGTTGCATTGGCAGCGGTGGTGGCAGTCCTAGTCGTATGGTCGTAGAGGTCATTTGTTTGCCCGCCGCGCGTTTTGTAGTAGTGGCAGGCAGAGCTTCAGCACATGCAAGCCTTGAGGTTGTGTGTTTTTACTTTATTGCCTCGTATCTTTACTGGTGAACGTTTTGCAGATCATTAAGAATTTTCTCCTCCTCGTGCTTGCTTTCTTTCTTCATATTGCCGGTTGTGAGTATGATGGGGGTTACTAGGAGTATTAGCTGGGCGATGATATCTTTGTCCTGTTAATGTATTGTTTGCTGACCGATGCCAGGATGCAAACGGCGCGGCAGCCCTCGCTCTCCGGCGGCTCCTGGACCCCATGACATGCTGGCTTAATCCTATTGTGCCGGTAGATTGTCTTGGCTGGGCTGTCACCTCGATGTATCAATTGGCGAGAAACTTATGTGTTCTGGGTGTACGTGCACGCCGGTGTCCCTGCGTGTGTGTGTGTCACACCCACCCACACACACACACACAGACACACACACACACACACACACACGCATACGTGTGAAACTTCGTTCTGCTACTTGGTCGTCGTCGTCGTCGGAAAACGGCTCCAACCTCGAAAGAGCATGACAGCCGTGGTAGGATCTGTGTACTGTACATCCAGTCCACGCCACCAAGAGCAAAGACCCATGCAGAGAGCTACAAAGTTGCTAGCAGCTGTATATCTCGTTACCACCAGGCTCACCTAGGGCCGTCAAGTGGCGTAGAGACGCGGTGCTCTGCATTGCCTCCCCAAGCCCGAAGGCCAACGACCTTGGGTCAGGCTGCGACGCCGAAGAAGCATCTCCTCGATCCCCCGAAGGGTTGCCAACGTGGAAATGGACAGCGAGCTTGAACGGCAGTCAGGTCATCTCCCCATTTCCAGAGGCATAACAAGCGACGCTGGTCCGGGGTAATGGGTGGAGGCCCGGGAGGCATTTTCTTGCAGGCCAATTCCCGCCACCGCTCGATCGCGTTGCCCCCCCCCCCCCCCCGGAAAAAACATGAATTTGTTTTTTGAAGCTCTGTAACTTCAGACACAAGCGCAAGATCGAAGGGTCAGCAAGCTCATGCCAGAAAGGCCACTTAAATTCGTTGAACATCCCTGCCGTTCATTGCTTCTAGTACCTTATGGTCATATCTTCATGAAAGAGCAAGACCTTGGCAGGCTTTGCTTCTCGGCTGGCTTGTGCACCTCTGCTCCTCGAACCGTGATCCCTCCACAGAAGTACAACCAATGTAAAGCTAACTCATCTGTGAGGACTCGCAGGCCTCAGTGCCTGGTGAGGTGCCAGCCGCGGCTTGGCCCAAGACCGCGGCAGGTCGTTGTTGTTGTTGTGGCGCGGTAGCAGCAACGGTAGCAGCAGTAGCAGCAGCAGTGGCAATAGCAGGATGGCGGTAGTGGTAGCAGTAGTCGTAGTAGTAGTAGCATAAAAAGCATAAGTAGCATATGTAGCAGTAGTAGTAGCAGAAGGAGCAGTAGTAAGTCGTGTCGTGGTCGTCGTGGCCGTAGTCGTAGTCGTGGTCGTAGCAGTCGTAGTCGTAGTCGTAGTAGTAGTAGTAGTAGTCGTGGTGGTGGTGGTGGTGGTGGTCGTTAGTAGTAGCGCAAGTAGCAGTAGCAGTAGGAGAAGTAGTAGTAGCAGTCTTCGCCGTAGTCGTCGCAGTCGTGGTCGCATTTGTAGTCGTCGCAGTCGCAGTCGCCGTCGTAGTTTTCGTAGTCGTAGTCGTCATAGTAGTAGTGTTAGTAGTGGTAGTAGTAGTAGCAGCAGCATGAGTAGTAGTAGTAGTAGTAGTAGTAGTAGTAGTAGTAGTAGTAGTAGTAGTAGTAGTAGTAGTAGTAGTAGTAGTAGTAGTAGTAGTAGTAGTAGTATTAGTAGTAGTAGTAGTCGTAGTCGTAGTCGTAGTCGTAGTACGTAGTACGTAGTACGTAGTACGTAGTAGTCGTAGTAGTCGTAGTAGCCGTAGTGGTCGTACTCGTCATACTAGTCGTTGGTCGTAGTAGTCGTAGTGGTCGCAGTCGTAGTAGTAGTAGTAGTAGAAGTAGTAGTAGTAGTAGTAGTAGTAGTAGCAGCCGTCGTAGTTATAGTCGGAGTAGTTTTCGTAGTGGTCTTTAGTCGTCATAATCGTTATCATCGTCGTATTCGTATTCGTAGTAGTAGTAGTAGTAGAAGCAGAAGTAGAAGTAGTAGTAGTAGTAGTAGTAGTAGTAGTAGTAGTAGTAGTAGTAGTAGCGATCACAGTGCAAGCCGGCTTGTACGAAGAGACCGGCAATATTCGGCTGGCCACTGCCGTTTTCTCCTACCCCAGGCAGCAAAAATCCAATGCATCAGGGCTTTTTGGGCCAGAAGATCCGACTCGGGCTCCTCTTGACTCCGGTAGCTGGGAGGAATCAGCTGCTTACGCTCGGTTCTTCCTAGCTTGCAGGCTCCGGACCATGGGCAGCCACGTCAGGACTATGTACACAGAGGTACTGCCGTACCAAAAGTACAGCAACCAGGATGGCTACCTCATGCTGGAGAATCCCCTCGAGCATTCTCCGCCTCCACCACCTCCACCGGCTGCCAGCTCGAACGAGCCAGCGCCCTCGACACCGGCTACTGAGCTGCAGGGCATTTGGGCGGAAATGGACTAGGCTTCAATCGAAGGACACAGTCCACCCTAGCGGCATATGGCACAGCCTCCGCCATGCGGCTACTGTAACCATTTCGTCGCGGAATAGGACACAGTCCAAAGCTACCTGAGTCACAGACTCCGACCCAATGCCTACAGCGCTGGCCTTAGCCCGGGAAAAACCTGAGCATATGTCTTGAGCGCAGTTGCCAGCACTGTCCAGCTACCGTTTGCTAGAGCTTGGCTTAGAATCGGTTACCGGCTCACCGCTTGCGCTAGTGCCAATGGTCGGCGAGGATGACGGCCCAATCCGGGCCATTTCCTTCCCCGCTGCGATCTTCGCAGATTACATGGAGGACTACCTCACTCTCTCGGCGTTAAAGTTGTACTGTGAGGAGGCCCAAGTGTCCCTGCCGTTGGCAGCAGGAACATGGCCCTACAATGACATCACGGCATGGGCATACAAATCTCTTCCACCCCTGCAGTGGCAGCGATTCGAGACCTATCTCGATTCAATGACTACCATGGCTTGCTCAGAGGCAGAGGACGGCTACCTGATTAATCCCATCCCACATGGGGGCTTGTCACACATGGTACCCAAAGCAGAGCAGATAGCGAGCAGCTGTATCACTTCTCGCTGTCTCTCCATCTGGTCATCGGTCCGTCAGGTTCTGCAGTACCTACCCTTCGAACCCCACGACAGATGGGAGTGCACCTCTCGGGCGGCTGGCTCTTCCGGTGGACAGCGATTTCGGGTAGGGGCCGTCTGCCGCGTTCTTCCTGGCCTGCTAAAGGAGACCATCTCCCACCCCAACGTCACTCGGCTCTTCAACGCCTTCGTGTACTCATGCCGTCCAGAACACCAGTGGACTTCTCTCGAGGTCTTGGTCGATGTGCACTCTCCACTTCACAAAGACGCAAACAATGCAGCCTTGGGTACATTGCTCATCCCGATTTCCATTTGCGACAATGGCGGCATTTGGATTGAAGACCCTGAAGGCTGTGACTACCAGGAGATCCCAAACCAGCAGGGGATGATCCGGGGAAGCTGCTTTGACCTCCGCGGCCTTAGCCTCTCCTTCCGGGCGGATGTGTTATGGCATGCAACTCAACCGTGGGAAACCTTTACTCGAGTCGTTTTGGCGGCCTACACGGTACGAGGAGCCTCTCGTTTCTCACCAACGCTGCAACAGCGCCTGACTGAGCTGGGTTTTCGCCTCCCGCTAGGTACCACAGATGACTAGTTAGAACGAATGGCACAGCCTCTCGAGCTGAGACACAGTCTCTGACCATCTCTGCTCGTATTTTGAGGTTAAAGCAGGTACGCAAGCACGTGTAGTATCTGCACCGCTGTGACAACGTCACTGCACTTCTTCAGTACTTCTTGGCTCTAATAAGTTTGGCTTTGCCCTCCATACACTTGCCTGTACTGATGGAAGACGCCTTCGTTCGGCGAATCTTTCACTTCCTGACGCCGATGCTCCTCAGCCTCGACTTCTACTTGCAGCTGACGGACCTGGACAGAACTGCCATCGATGACTCGAGCAGCCAGTCCAGCCTTACAGGACAAGGCCTCACCACCAGGGATGGCCTGACAGCAGCCAGAACGGGCCTCCTGAAACTTCTTCAAGAGTGCTTCAATCACTGGCCGGCCCTCTCCATCACCTACATCCCCCCAACTGTGCAAGACACGCAGGACCCGAAGGACATGCATCTTGTCTACGAGGTCACGCAGCCGCGTCTTATTCAAGTCCGACGACTTGCCACTGTTAATCGAGTCTGGCATGACCTCATTTCCGACATGATATCTGGTCAAGCCCGCATCAATACAGTGGAACTTCTGGTGGCGATGTCACGTTTGCGAAAGTCAGGCTCAGTGTCGGTTCGCGAAGGCCAGGACATCTTCTACCTTCCGGTCTCGATGGCGTTCAGATTGCCGGTCGAGAAACTCACTTCTCCTCTGACTCGCACTGCTCCCGCAGCCGCTTACCGCGCCTCGGGCTTTAACGCCTGGCATGCGCTCCTCTTTGACAGCTATGATGCCCTTCAGAATGAGACCGAGCAACAGGACTAAACGTGCCATTAAGGAGTCTAACTTTTTGCAGCCAGCAACAGTGCTCTCGGCTTGAAAACTGGGCATATTCCGTGACAAGTCGTAGTACGTAGGGTGTGCGCTTTGAGTCACGTTCATTTCTCGGCACGCCCCTTGCCTGCCAGTTTTCTGTCAGCTGGCTCTAAGAGACTCGCTCAATGCCATGGATGGGCTCTCCCTGCGCCACGCTATGATACATCTTCTACCAGGGGTACTCACCCTTGACTCTTACGACGCCTCGCCCTACCCCAACTCCTACTGGAACGATCTGGACCTGCTGCATGATGAAGCTCGTGCAACTCGTGATCGGCTACAGGATCTACTCCTACGTTGGGCCAGAACGAGCCCCTTCTCGCAGTACTCCATTGTTGGCGACACACTCAGGATCGACCACAACGGAGTGCATGCTCAGCTCGGCATTGTCAATCTGAATCTGCTACAGGCTATACGGCTCGCGGCGGTCTGCCGTGCGTGGTACTCCGAAATTGCTCGTCTCCTAGACGGCAAACCCTGGATAGGGGTGTGGAGAGCCTACATCCATCTGCGCAAGCAAGGAGCAGGAGTGTTCATTGAAGTTCTGCCGGATCAAGCTGGCACCCTTTCGAGAGAGGCCATCAGCGTCCACTATGAGCAGGTGACCTTCATTCCGACTTTTGTCTTGCGTAGCCCTCTTTAGGTCAGATGGCACAGCCTCCAGCCACTTGGTCACAGACCATGAGACGCGCCGATTCCCTCTTTCAAAAGGCAAATCCGAGCAGCGTTGCAGCTCACCGGTCAGTGCTCAAGGAAGGATTCTCCGCAGTCATTTCTCGGCTTGCTCTCAGCCGTCCAACCATAACCATAGCATATGTCATCCTCTCTCTGCACCGAATCATGTCGCCGCGCTCTCTCCTTCATCATTCCCGGTGCGGTCATTGTGGACTTCTACTCGGACTCCGGTCTGGACAGGGATATGCTGGAGACTGAAATCGCTGCATATAGGCCCCCCAGCACTCTTATTCCCATCCTGCAGCTCAGGGACGAGATCCAAGAGCAAGCACGCCTCTGGGCCTCCCGCCGCCCATATGATGGCCTGGCTGTCTTCGTGCAACGGTACGTTGACATGGACTACGACCGGCAGGGCGCTCATGTCAGACTGGCGATACTGCAACCAGACTTGCTGACGGCCATTTCAATGGCGTCGGTTAGCAGAACCTGCTGCGCAGCAGTGCTCCCCCTGGTTCAGCACAAGCTCTTTGTAAGTCCCTACCGCACGGCCAGGGCAGCAATGTCTCTTGACCTACGCGTCATGGTCCAGTCCTTTGACACGCCCCAGTGGTACCTCGCGTCCGAAGAGCTCACCATCCACATTCAGCACAGCAAGCACGTCGTGGTGCAGAAGTTCCTGAACCCCTTCAACCAAGACGGGCAAGCAGCAACAATCAGCAGGGGCGAAGAGGTTCACAGTGCTCTCTCTGACCACTACTACAGTCTCCTTTGAGAACTTGTGAGCCACAGGAATGTCATCGACTCATGCTAGGAATATGGCACAGCCTCCGCTTAGGTGTGGCACAGCCACCAAACTAGTCACTGTTCGAGATATGTTGCCTACCTGC